GTGGGTCAAATTGGCTAACACTTTTTTTTTGTCAAAAGTTAAGTGAAAAAGAGACTGAGGGCCGGCCGAGTGGAGCATTGGTTAAGAGTTGGCTTGGAACGCCAGCTCTGAGTATCAGGACCCCGGTTTGAATCCCACATTAGGGCCAGTGACACTGCACCCTCTACAGCTAAGATGGTGAACAACAGCTCGACCTGGAGCTGGGCTGCCATGAGTCGCCAGCGACGTGTAGGCTGCAGTGGAGCTGCAGTGGGCTGCCATAAGCTACCATGAGTGGCCGGCAGCCGGTGTGAGCTTCTAAGAGCTACCGTGAATGGCTGTCCAGTGACCGGTGACCGATCTGCTTCACCCAGGAAGAGTGCAATGATAATACCAACATGGGGCAGTGAAGCGACGTCCTCCACAACTAGACTGAAGAACAAAAGGACAGCAACTTGTCTGTTTCCCTTCCCCAATTCCCCAATAAAATCTTTAAAAAAGAGACTGACTTTTATTGTGTTGTTTATAAACCAAGAAGTATTCTGTTTTGTCTTCTGTTTCACCACATAGGGGAACTGCCCCCAGGCTGGTCCTTTTCAAACTTTCCTTTCCAATTAATTTACCTGATAAGGTCAAGATAAAATCAGATATTTCATATTCAATAGAATTCAATATTCATAAGAAATGTCTTATGATCCTCATGGATCCTTTTCTGAGGATTTCACTACAGTTATAAAATTTCCCATAAAAGATACCAAAGTATAAACTTTTTAAAAAAGTAAATGATCTCTTTAGAACCTAAACACATAAGTTTAGGATAGAAATAAGTCATAAAGCTATTAAAATAAATTAGCTACTAAAATAAAACTCTATGCTACATTACATCATAGTCTTGCTATATGAGTATAACACTAATCATAAACTTATTTCAATTGCAAACGTTTTATCTCTTAATAATGAGTAGGTAAGAAGACAGACAAGTTGAGATGCTTTCACTGGTGCTTCCTGATTACCTAAAGTGTCTCATTTCTACCTACTATCCTCATGACGTGTGTGCTCTCAGTTCTAATCGCAGCAAAATGAAAAGCTAGCTCTGTACCTAATGACATAAATGAGGGGTTCATAGTATCCCACAATTCTGTATTCAATATGTTTGTAAAACTCACATCAGTATTTGTAAGGGGGTTTGGCAGATCACCTTTTGATAAAATTACCTACACCCCAAATGGGGCTGGGGTCTGAAGTTGAAAGTCTGCTCATAATATGACCTCCTAAGGACTAAAAGAAAGATTTATCAGCAACCTTGGGCCTTTTATTGTGAATGCTGATTTAAACACAGAATGGCATTTCTTTTCAATGTAACTAGGTAGATGGAATAAAAATTGCCAGCATGAACAAAAGATTTTCTTGCAAATCCTAAAATGGTTTACAGAAATCATGAATAGTCCCCCACCCTTTTTTTTACAAAACAGAAACTGTGAAGACAAATATGAAAATCACTTCAATGCCACTCCTAATTTCTGACATGGAGGGACTCAAATTATGACTTATGTATGAAAAATTTACTCTGAAAACTATGCATGTGTAGCTTGCATGATAGAAAACAACGGTTAAGCAGAGTAATCTTGGGTGCCTGTGCTGGGTGGGAATACCAGGATGGGTAGTGAGTGTATGGGGGTGCTATAGTCTGAATGTGTACTCCCCAAATTCATATGTTGAAATCCTAACCCTCAAAGATAAGGGTATTAAGGGGTGGGGCCTTTGGGAAGTGTTTGGTCATGAGGGTAGAGCCTTCATGGATGGGATGAGTGCCTTATAAAGGAATCTCCAGAGAGTTCCCCATCCATTTCACCATGTGAAGACACAGGAAGAAGACGCCAGCTCTAAACCAGGAAGAAGGTTGTCACCAGAATGTAACCATTCTTGGATTTCCAGCCTCCAGCACTATGAAAAATAAATTTCTGTTGTTTAGAAAGTACCAGTCTGTGGCATTTTGTTAAAACAGCCCAAACGGACTAAGTATGGAGGAGGGTAGAAAAGGGGGGATGAGCAGCAAGAGAGTGAGGTGTGGGGCGAGGCAGTGGCTGAGACAGAGAGTGTTTGAAAGAGGGGACCAGGCATCGTTCCTGAAACAGTGACATCTGCAACAGAAAAAATGCTTATCCTCCCAGCCAGGCACGATTAAAACCCTTGCAATTCAGATGCAAGTAGCGCAGAGCTGACAAGAGCGGAGAGAGGTGGGAGGAGGGTGGAGAGGGCTGTGGGCAACACGCAGCCACAACCTTCGGTCTGGGGAAACTGCCTCCCTAGGAAGGCCATTGCTGATGATTTCATTTTTGAAGAGTTCACTTTGAGCATGGGTTGCAGACAGGATGACCAAGGATACCCTCTTTGGTTAAAGACCCTCATAAGAGATGCAACCATTCTAACCCAGGCAGCCTAGAATGTGGACACCACAGGATCCAGAAGAGGCCAGCAGAAACAAAAAGCCACCGTATTCAAAGAAGAGGATTTAGCCTGGGCCACAGACAACCCAACAATTCTTTTATACAGATATTGAGTGTTCACAAGGATAACTCTGCTGTGTTATGCATAGTTATTTGTATGTATATTTTAAGTTAATATTTTATAGCTATAAGTTCTGTATCATAGTTGTTATAATATAGAATTACCCTCAAAGTTTGATTAAATTGTGTTGTTCTCATTTGTATTTGTTACCTGGTCAGTTATTCTTAGTGAATCTGTTAGTTGTCTTTTAGGTAATAAGTTAAAGAACCCCTTTGGAAGCTGTTAAACATAGACCTTTCTGGACCAGATAGATCCTTGACAGAAAATTGCAGATAAGATTCATGTCATGGGTAGGAGGACTAGGGAGGCAGTACCTCCACTCCTGTTAAAACCTGGTCATGTAAGTGGCTTATCCCAGAATTATCTGAAATTAGGCATTCTATCTGACTCAGTCATGTGAAAAATACAGATGGATATGGCAAGAAACTATAGAAATAGTGGATGGTACAACCTTTCCACATCCAGAGGGTAGTGAAGGGAACATACACCACCAGGTTCCTGATCTGTCGTCCAGCTCTTAGATGAGTTACATGTCTTTTCAGAGAGCTTTGGGGTGTTATCTCCCAGGATGCCCTGCACTTAGGGTTAGGCTAAGACCAGCACGTAGGGTCACCCCTGAAAATTAAACACCTTCATTAATATTCTGCAAGCCTGAAAAAGAATAAGGCAAGTAGGGAAAGAAGACTACAGTGGGCATATAATGCCTTTTTTCTTTCATAAATGTTCCATTTATTTTTCTGATTACTGAAATAACACATACTTGTTGTAGACCATCTTATAAATACAGAAAAGTAGGGGAAAGAGAGTAAAAATAACTTAGAATCCTTGAAAACCTACTAAACCCCTCAGGCCCATGTATTGCTCCTGGGACCAAGACAGCTCTCCCTCACCAGGTGCAGTGTGGTCCATCTCCTGCCTTCTCCCCTCCCTCTGCAGCCATAGAACTACTTTCTGTCTCTGGCACTTGGCACATGCTGCATCCACCCTCTTTACCTGGTCACTGCCCCTTATCTTTTGATCTTAGGTAGGAGAAGGCTTCCCTAACCCCTCCCCCCTGCTAAAGTCAGATCATTTTGTTATCTACTCCTCTAACATCATCTACCTCTCCTTTGCAAATCTTGTCACACTTGCAAATTTACAGTTTATTTGTGTGATTATTTGTTTGACATCTGTCTTCACCATCAGGCTGTAGGCTTTATGAGGGCAGAGTCCATATCTTTTCTTAAAAAAAAGATTGTATCCCTAGTGCCTAGCACCATGCTTGTTTTTGTTTGTTTGTTTGTTTATCTTGACTAAACCCTCCCCATCTTTAAGGTTGAGCTGGAGTTTCACACCTTTCACTGAGCTTCATTAATTTTCTCATTTCTCTCATTTCCTACTAAATTTGTATCTAGTTCCAAAGGATTGGCATGGAGTCATTCTCTAATTGAATCATAATGCTAAGTGACACTATAAGTAAATGCTGACCTGCCTGCCTCCGCCCCTCCCTCCATTCACTAAACAAATATTTCTGTGTATCTACTGTGTGCCAGACACTGTTCTAGATGCTGAGAGCACATCTCTGCTATCAGGAAGTCAACATTCTAGTAGGGAAGACAGCCATAACCAGATCAATGAGTAAATAAGTAATATAATTTCAGATACAAGTGCTATGAAGAATTGAAGCCAGGTAATAGATAGGGTAGGTGTGAGAACAGGGGCTTGTAAACGCTTCCTGGTAATGACTTCAATTAGAAAGAATTGCCATGCCAGCGGTCAGTGCTTAGGGAAAAAAAACTGAATTAAGAATCTCTACCTTAATAAATTACTTTTCTCTACCTTTCCATTCCACTCCATATTATATTCATGAGCTTTCTTCTTAAAAAGAAAGTACTTTTTGTAGTTCATAATTGCTTACATTTCTAAGAACATGATGGCATAATGAGCAATGCACAAATGTTTCAGATTCTGTTTCATCAACACAAAACTAATTCACTCAGCAGAGGGAGCTCTTGCTTTAATTTTGGGAAGTTGGACAGAAAGCAGCCTCTTGTAAAAAGAACCTAAAATAAGCTATGCAACTCTCATTTTAAATAAGATCTTCTACTACTTCTTGGAGCTAAGACTATTTGACTAAGGTTTGTTTGATTTTTATCTACTTAAATAGAAGAGTGACTGCTGAATTCTTTCGGGGCAGGATTTTCTTCAATAAGGTTCTGTTTTGCTTACCAAACAGGCTAACTTAGAAAAGGTATCCCAGCTCAGGAGTTTAAGGATTCATCTAGACCAGGAGTCAGCAAACTTTTGAGATGGAAGAGCCAATCCTGTCCCTCACAACAATTTAAAAATTACTCAAGAGTCATAAAACAAATGAAATCACCATTATGTGAATAGTATCCTTTAAAAAGTTATAAATGAAACTATGATAGTTTTATTTGCATTTTCAATTTTACTTCAGAGCCACATGTACATACCCAAAGAGCCGCATGTGGCTCGCGAGCCGCAGTTTTCCGACCCAGATCCAGACAGATGATAACTGTCCACCTGCCCACCTTTCTGTGGCTTCTTCTATTGCACTGTGAACTCAGAACATAACCTTACTTGACTTGTTTGAATACGACTATGCTTTGACATTGAACACTTGCTTATAGAGGTCTCTGCCCATTGAGATTATGAAACAGCTATTTATGTAAGACTTCAAAGGATGTTTACTATGACATGATCTAAGTTCAAAGGCAAGATAAATAAAGATTGAGCAAATGAATTATTTTCTCAGATAAAGAGCCAGTGTCATGAAGTTGACTCAGCAGCATTGCCATCATAGGTGAAATCAGCAATACTAACAGATGGGGCTTGGTGTGTAAACGACAATTTTTTAGTGATCTGAAGGACTATAGTAATGACAGAAAAGGGTGGATTAGGTAGAAGTTTCCTTAGCATTGCCCATGCTCTTATGCTACATTTCTAATCAGTACATTTCTACAAGACAGAAAGCAACATTTAAAAAAAAAGAAACTATTTTCTTGTTATCAAAGTCAAGCACATTTGTTAAAATACAGAGAAATAGCATGAGGAGCAATAAATAACACAAGATATTTATTTTACTGACTGTTTGTAAGTTTATATCTAGCTTTAAAATTAATGTGCGCAGCATTTTAAAAGGGGAATTTTGTCATTTCCTTCCTTAAAAACCCCCTTAATTAAAATTCACAAGTCACTATAACTGGGCTAATCCAAAAACAATACAATTTTGAAAGCATATTAAATTGTGAAGGAAGATTCCACTGATGATAAAGGAAAATATTAATGTCAAAGAGCACACTTATTACATCGCTCTGTAATTATTTTTATATGCATCTACTTTTCCACAATACTATCAGCTCCTTGGAAGAAATTATGCCTTTTTTAGCAGGCTTGACTTACTAGCATATTTATCCCAAAGCCTGACACATGGTAAGTGCTTACTGACTATAAGATTAATAAACAAATGAGTGTTTAAAATGATCTTATTCCACCTGTACTTTTCAGAGTAATATTGACAGAAAGAATTGAGTCCTAAATTGTGAGAGAGAAAAAATTTCATGCCACTCCTTGTTAGATGCATTTGGGATAGCCACTAAAATTGTTCTGCTGAATTGGAAAAGGGAAAACTGGAGAAAAACTTGGTGACTGCTAACGCCTGTGAAAATGCAGGGAGCTATTTAACAGAGAATGGGGTAGCTGTTCTCATCTGCTGCTGGAAGGAAGAAACAGACTAAGTACTCCTTGAATAATGAGGTAGTTAGAGATAGCTGAATGAATTTTTGGGTGAATCGACAAACATCTGTGGTGCCCCAGCTATGTGAAGAAAATTTAGCCTCAAGAGAGGATGTACAATCTTCACCAGGATTTTCTGAATTTAGGAAGTCTTCTTTTTTCAAAAGATCAGACGTGTTTCAGTATTACATTGCAAAATATGATTTCCTCCATTCTCATGATCCTGGGATTTGGTTAATGTCAAACAGCCTTGGCTTTCTTTAGCCGAACCATCAGCAACATAAGGACCTTGTTATAATAAAGGAGAACACATCTTCTTTTGTGTTAGTCATTAGAAATAATTCCAAAGTCCTTGTAGGAGAGATGACAATTGGAGGGAGAGCTTCTTTAAACTTTCTAGCAGGCCCAGAATTATCATCAATAGGAAAGGAGCCAGCTAGATTTTGTGTTGCAAATAACACAATGGCCTGGAAGCAATTATAACAGGCCTAATAAGCAAAGTGAAATAGAACTATGACAGATGAGGCTTGTTTTCAACCCCATTCTAGAATTGGAATGAGAGGTCAAATCTAGGAGCCAGAGATATTAATTATATAACAAGCCGGGCTGTTAATTGGGCAAAAGGTGAGTTTGAATCACCAAGTATGTATTTTGATTTCTGAGTAGATGGTGTGACCACATCTTCTTTCACCAATTTCCATTTTCAATATAGGAAGTAGGAACTGTGGCCTCTTTGCTGTCACCAAGAGAAGTGCTCCCCATCACAAGAAGAGCTTTGGGGTCCTTCATTTTCAGTCCTAGAAGGTCATTCAGGGTTTCTAGGGTGATCCAGGTAGTCCTCTCCCTATGGAAAGTCAGAATTCTCTTTTTGGGCTCTTCCACCGTTCTCTGCACTAGATAAATACAGACTTAACGCTTGTGTCAATGACAAGCACATGGACTTCAGTGTGGCTCACAGACTGAGCGAGATTGGATGGAACCTGCCAAGGATAACAAAACAAAGACAGATACTTAGAGAACAGTGGCCTCATCAATTCACAGTTAAAATCACGGCTCTGCATATGTATTTTTCCATTTCTTCTAGCTTAAAAACAAACAAACAAACAAAAACACAAAGTGGATTTTAATTAAATCTTAACTGATAAACAAACAAGAGTGTTATGTACCAGGGATGAGATTTCTAATGTCAAATTCTCAAGTGAATCATAGACGGTGTAGAGGCCTGACCACCGCACTGTATTTCTGAAGCTGATGTTGAATAATATTGTATGTCAACTATAATTATATATACATATAGTCACAGGATGTGGAGTAGAGTGTGGGAATGGAGTCAATGGAATTGTAATAGATAAGCATGATATCAGGGGTGGGAGGGCAGTGGATGGGGGAGGGGGGGTTGTTACTTTGTGAGGGTGAAAAGGATAACTAGTGCATTGTTTTATACACCTGAAACTAATAATAATAAAAAATAAAATAAAAAGTTCTCAAGTGAAGAAATAATTTTTGGCTAAGTCACAAATGATGACAGACATTAACAGATAATTAACTATATGTGCACTGGGGGGGGGGTGTTATTCAACATCAGGCAAGCTTGTAGAGTGGAAAAACACTGACTACACTGGGAAACAGGAGACCCAGGTTCTAAGCCCAGCCTGGCCACGCAGTAGCCAGGTGAATTCAGGAAAACCATAGACCCTCTCTAGGCCTGACTTAATCTGCAAATTAGGGATTTGACTAGAAGCTCTTTGGGCTCTCAGAGACCATATTTATGTGAGGTAAGGCTGCCTGTTTTGTTGAACTGCAGAAATATGGTAGAAGCATAGAATGTTAGGCTTTTTAAAGTAGTGGGGACCTTCCTCTCACAGACCATAGCTGTTTCCCAAGCAAGGCTGAGGGGTTTCACAGCTACAGTTGAAAATCAGACTTTTCTCAACTAGCAGAAGTAGTTAATAGGCAGAATTTCTTTCAAGTTTTCCTCTCATCCATGTCTCTAAAACTAATGGCACCGAAAGTGATGGCTGGCAATAAGATGGAATGAACAAGTATAGAAAACAAATATTTATGAGGGTAATTTGCAAATAGCTGACCATGCTTAATTGGGTGACTTTTTTCTTTTCCTTTTTCTTCTTTTTAATGGGCTTCTGTGATCCTAGTTTTGACCTGGTACAGGGATCTTATAATACAGTTAGGTTTTCTAAGTCTAAAATTGTTTCTATTTCTTTCAGTCCAACTAAATTTGCCGCTATTTTATGGTGTTCAGTAAAGAATCTGGTAATCAAGGAGAAGCCCTTGACTTTTGATTGCTCCTTTACATGAGTAAATCTGAGAACCGCTGGTCTAGTTTTATAGAAGAAAATAACAATAAGGCCCAAAGAGGGGAAGTGACCTGGTCAAGGTGACACAGATAGTTAATGGGAACAGGATCATGAAACCAATGGCACCAGGCTCCCTGACCAGCGTCCTCTGAAACTGAAATGGTTCCATACATCTTGAAAAAACATAGCTTAAACAACTTCTGCTGGTTAATAATGAAAAAGGGGACCACTGCTCAGGGGAATTAATTGAACTGTTTAATTCGTGTGAAATTAAATATTGATACCCTTGTAAAAATATTTTATGCAATGGTATTTTGTTCTTTGTGGGAGCCATCAAAAGGGCAGAACTTTGGTGGACTTTCCAATAAACCATCTCATATGTGTAACCACAGAACTAGCTTAAAATGGTCCTATCCTTTTAACAAGATGCTGAGTTTCTCTTCAGAGACAACCGACCAAATCCACATGTCATGCAGGCAAAGCATGAGCAAAGGAGAAAACTTTGACCTCCAGTAGCACCCAGAACCAAAGTCTTGTTCCTCTCTTACCCCAATATGGATCAAAATGATTGGCTATAACTGGAACCTGAACACCAGAACCCTTTCAGAAGCGAAGTTTCCAGGAAGATCCAGTGCTGACACCCCTTACCATAAATGACCAAATTCCAAGGTCCTCCAGTGAAAACATGCCCCACCAGTACCTCTACATATGTGTTCCCTCTAACCCCTTAAAAACACTTAACCTAGTCTAGTGAGCAAGGTAGATTTGAGGTACCATTAGGTTTTTCATCTTCCTGGTTGACTTCTCAATCAATAAATCTTTTCTTACTCCAAACTCTCCTGTTTTGAGTTTTGTCCTTTCAAAACATTGGGCATACAAATTTGGGTTCAGTAACAACTGAATAACTTCAACATTGAACAAAAATCATGGTGGAAGCTGCTTAACTAACTAAAGCAATTGAAACTGAACAATTAAGCAGGTTGGCTAAATGAGAATTTCTTTATCATAAGGATCCTGTAAATGTTGCCTTAAGTTACGTGTTTTGTTGGAAAGGATGACAGAGATGGGAGTCCTTGAGAATCTATTAAAAACTCCAGTTAATGAAGTACTTCATATGTTTCTCTCATCAGGTTAGGCCACTGGTTCTAAGAATAGTCCAGGGATACCTGGAGGTCCCTCAAGGTCCTTCAGGGGTCTGAAGGTCAAAACTGTTTTACAATGAAAGATGTTATTTGCCTTCTTGCTTCTCATTCTCTCATGAGTGTTTAGTAGACCTTTCCAAGACCTTCAAATCACATATGGTGTCATGACTGACTGCCTATAGAAGCAGACATGCAAATCCAGAGATTTTCTTTTAAGCCAGTATTAAAAAGATTTGCAAAAATTATAAAACAATGCCATTCTCATTGATTTTTCTTTGGGAAATATAGTTATTCTTCATGAGCCATATGTTCTTTATGCTAATGTGCAATGGGTTTACTCATGTTATTTTCAAATAAATAATATAAATGTTTAAAATGTTTTCCAGTTTTAATTTCAAATACTACAAATGGCAATAATGTTAAGAA